TAGTCCATTCAAATAATGTCCTAGTACTTGATTTCTTTTAATTTCTTCTTTCTCCCTTCTCACGATATTCTTCAAAGGTTTAACAAGTCTCTTTTGTAAATGCAATATAGAAAAATTATCCAGGTCACTGTCTTGGTTTATTGTTTGTATGTCCCTTTTAATTTAAAACATCAGCCAGTTTTGTTTTGTATGTTCAGTGTAATATCTCTTTCCAAGTTATTCTTGTAGCCTGTCATTTGTAAATCTGCTTTCAAATCAGTCTCTGTCTTGTTCCTCTTCCATAACAGATTTTAGACACAGTCTATCCACAGAGGCAGATATCACTGTTGACATATTGAAAATATCCTTCAATATTTCCAGTGTTAGAATATTTTGTGCCATTCTGTAACTGTTAATCAAATTTATATATTCTTCTCCTTTAACTGAAATCTTTAGTTCCCTCTAGTGTCCAATTTTTTAAAAAACGTTTTAATATTTTTTTAAAATTCAAAACAAAAGCATTTTCCCATGGGAAGGATCTTTTGTAATTAATTCCAAAATCTTATTTCAAATTTATCTGGACCCTTAGTCTGTTTGTAGCTTTCTAAAATCAAAGTTTTAATCAATATTTTGCTGTTTATTTAGGAAAAAAAACACTTTTTAAAAAGTTCTTAGCTTGTAGTTAAAATTTTCTTTCATTAAGGATTGAAGGCAGATTCACCCAGTGTTTTCAGACTTGTCACTCTAAAGGTTTTTAATAGCTGAAAAGTAGTTAATAAGCAATTTCTGAATGTGATTAGAAAAGGAAGTAGGCGAACTTGGTGTCCTTTTAAAGGCACCGACTGCAGTTTGAGCAAGATCACTTTATCTCCCAGTGCTCAAAACCCACTGGAGACCAATGTCTTGCAATCTTCTTGTGAGGAGCACTCTGGAGCACTTGTGGGCAATCTCTGGTCCTCTCCTTTATCCAGAGAAGTTTGAAGATCCAGTCTACTTGCTGGCTCTTCATTCTTCACTATGGTCATTGGCTCCACTTTTTGAGAAGCTGCCTTCAGTCCGCCATTTCATCCTCCGGAAATCCCATCTACTGCTCTTCCCAATAACCCCAAAGGTTGCACACAGTCATCATGACTAGTAGCCAAACTGCTGGCAGTATTGCTTATTAGTTCCTCCCATCTTCTCTAGTGTCCCTGAAGCAGATTTTGTCTTCCTTATGACCTGAGCAGCATTCCACCATATACCAATACTTATTCAAGCAAGATTTAGAATTAATACATGTGTGCACATTGCTTCAGTTCCCATTTTATAATTAGCCCTCTAGGGTTGGATGCACCCTTTACACTATGTCATCATGTGCTTTGCTTTATTGTGTCTTAGCTTGTTATACAAATCATGCCAACTGTGATTTATTCAATAAGCCATTGTAAAACAAATTAGAACTTAGTATGCTGTGTGAACAAAGTTCATGACCTCAGC